TTCCCTTGATTATACCTCCGGCATCTTCGAAGACCCCCGTCGGCGTTAACCCCTCGTCTTCTGGAGATTATTGTCTCCTTTTCTCCCTTACGGCTACCCTCTGATGCCAACGCTTATTCAGTTGGGATGTTTAGATCTGGCCAGTGACAGTCCATGGTTAACTCAATTCTAACAACTCGCAGCACTAGCACCGACAAAGTCGAGTGCCCGCCGTATGCACAAACTGCCGCTCCACGACGGCCTACTAGAAAGAATTGCACTTATTTCTGATAGCCTCTCAACGCTGCGGTTAGCACTAGATTATAAAGATATTTGAGTGATGAGTGCTAGCTCTCAATAAAATTCCCCCACCATCAACAGTACCGAGGGTAGAACGCAGGAACACCGGGTGGGACGGAGTCACGACTTGCACCCCACCTTGAGGGCTCTACTACGTGTCAACTCGGGCTGAATCAAAAGTGACGTAGCGTGCCTTCCTGAATGATCGCATCGGGTTACCGCGCTTTACCGAGATCAAGATCATGAGAACTCACACCTATCGAGGCAGCTTGGTAACGGGACACAGGTCAACACTCCCAAAGAGAGACTGCTGTGGGATAACTAACACACAGTTCCGCTACGCTCATGTACAGTCGGAGGAATACCGTAGCCCTGGACCCCAATGCTGCGCGAGAATGGTATGGTCAGATTTTTCGTGGTCTCATACGTCTCTCTTCCCCTGTCCCGCCCCCAATCAAACTAACGGTAGAAGCAGGAGTAAGGCGAATGTACTTGTAAAGCACGATCCCTCCACCGACCACCATCCACACCTCCCTTCCTCACCGCATGTCCCCCATTCCTCCACACACTCCCATGATAGGAAAGGAAGGGCATGTCCGGAGAACCCACTCCAATAACAATTCAAGCCCCATGTCGATCCACCACGCTCCCAGACGACCCACCATACTCCCGTGACTTCCAGAATCAGCCCCAGCACCGTGTCTTCCCCCTAGGCCTCCGTCAAAAACACACTAAAATCGGGGTTTCTGGGGCTATGATATCATCACCCAACCGCCATGGGAGGAAACGGTATGATACAGAAATAATTCAAAAAATTAATCCGCTCAAGTGCACGCGGATATCACACAAAAGTCCGATATTTCTCCCCCCCCCCCATTCTCTCGAAGTAGCGGGGTGTCGAGAGTTCCCTCCAGCAAGGCCCGTCACCTGCCAAGACTAAGGATTTCTTCGGTCCAGGAAAGACGCACCGGGACGGACCTCCATAGACTACCTACTATAGTTCATGAGCGCCCAGCTCTGCACTACCAGCGGCCAGAAATCCGGAAATAAATAAAACTTTCTATCAAACCCCAAAGATGGTAAAAAAATTTACATTTTTTTTCTTTTCACAGCAGATTTTCCGGAATATCTGCGCAGATAAATTTAGCACAGTACAGTACAGTACAGTACGCCCAAAACCCGAACATTCGGCACTTGTCCCGCCTCATCGCAAAACTACCCCCCCGACCGCAATTCGCACATGACGATGCACAAATCCCCCATTTACAAACAAGCTTCACCGGCTCCGCGTATCAGCCACGCAAACTGACACCGCCCATCATCCATACGCGAGGTACAGTACCGTACGGTACGGTGTACGTGTACGGTATACGCCCTCCACATTCCAGGAACCCAAACGAAACCCCGTTAATCACCGGATCAGGAACCCCCTCGGGAAAACCTTCCCCACCACGATTCGTTACCGCCGGTGCATCCGTCCTTGCAAGTATCATACGGTACGTGCTACTCGAGTATACCAAACCCTGAGGCGGACTCGCCCCGCCAATATCCCGCGTCTGAAACTACGGCACTTCCCGCCCTGAACCTATCGCACAGTAGAGTACTAGTACTACGGTAGTATAACCGGCGTTTACTGACACCCCGGCGCATCCCTGGATACAATTCTATGATCCTGCGTACGGTGCGGTGCTCCGCCTCGATCAGACTCCATCTCTTGGTCATTCGGCAGCACGAAAAATCACCCGCGGCGGCGGCGTGCCGGTAGTGCAGAATTGAACGCCACGAATCGGCGCCGACGGCCCATGTAGTAACGGTTTTCAAAAAAGCAAAAGCGAGAAGAATTGAAACGTGGGGAAGGGGTGGTGGGGTACAGTACTGTACGTCGTGCGTTGTGGGTACCGTGTCGTTAGAGTAATGGGCCGGATAACGTTGTGGAAAAGGAAGAGATGGGCTGATATGCGGGTATGAAATTGGTTATGCGGAATGGTTTATACTCAGTACTAGCTAATATGCCTATTTAAGAAATCGTATTCGCTCCAGGACTAGCATTTCAGGATGGAAATCGGTTAAAGGAAAGAAGAAAAAAGTAGGAGACCACCGAAAAGTAGGAACCCAGCCACCCAACCAAAGGAAATGAAAACTCCGGTCATGCTAAAGATCAGGGAAAAGTAGTAGTAGCAGGTGTAGAGGAAAGCTAAGGGCAAAAGCGAGGGCAAAAGCAAAAGCGGAAACATCCCAAGTACAAAACACCAACGTATAAACACCTTCGAGTAAAGAACGCAGAAAGCACCTCAGATAGCCATCCTTCCCCGGCTCCCCATCGACCCCGAACTCCCACTCGCCGTAGTCCAGACAGTGCTCCTTTTAGACAACGGCCCGTCGCTCGCAGAGCTACTCCTCGAAGCCTGTGCTCTGAGCGCCAAGTTCTCGGCCCCCCATCCCCCAAAAACCCCCCCTTCAGCATTACCGCTAACAACGTTATGCGCCCCGCAACACGGCACCTCAGCACCTTTGCACACATCTTTAACTACGGCATAGCACTCATCCACGACCCTTCGCCCGCCCGGGCGGGCTTCTGGATCTCGCGATAGCATCCTCCGGGTAATGGCTAGCGCTTCGACAAGTGCTTCGTCAGGCTTCTTCTTCGTCTCTTTGAGAAGCCCGCCGATCCAGCCATCGACCTGTCCGAGATTAGCGTGGAACGAAGCGTCCGGTGGGCCGGATTCTCGAGGCCGCCGATTCTTGGCGGATCGGTGGGAGATGAACGCTGTAGGTTTGCGCTTTTGTTTGAATGATAGGATGTCCAGGTATATGCATCCTAATGAGAACACATCAGACGTAGTGGGGTGGGCAGGGGTGGTAGATGACCAGTGACCGACGGAGATGTTTGTTGACGACGGGGAGGGTGCCTCTTCGGAAGAGTTGGAATTGGCGCTCTGGGTTGACGCTTTTCTATAAGATCGGCCGGAAAATACGGTGTTCGTTGGTGGCGGCGAGGATTCGTGGGGCGTCAGTACCCGCTGCCAAAGCTCTGGTGCGCCGTATTCATAAGCCTCCACGTCTGCCGACACCGGTGCTGTATGGAATTGACGGGAGAGAAAGGATGATGGACTGGTGCTTGCCGGTGAGGAATCGAGGCGCTTCGAATCCCCGGTGTCCGCAAAGAAGATTTTGTAGGTAGTTGCTTCAATAATGAGCGAGGAAGGTTTGATGTCGCCGTGGGAAATGCCCTTCTCATGCAAGTATGCGAGCGCGTCTGCCAGACAGTGTAGCCAGTTGAAGATTATCAGCCGGCGCTTGTCTTTTGGTTGGGATTTCCAAGCTGGGGGCGTGGAATGAAGGAACGACCTTAACGTCAAGTCGATGCACGGTGAAAAGACCAAATACCCGTAGTCATCTTGCGTGTAAGAGGTGTATACAGAAACTATGTGAGCATGATCGATCGACCCAAGACGGGAGATTTCCGCGATGAAGGAAGCGGGTGAAATTTTATTCCCCCCTGCTCCGCCGTCTTCAACTCCATCCCGGCTTAGCGGTACCCGTCGGCGGGAGTAACACACCTCCCGCTGCCTTGGAAAATAAACCTTCTCGACCAGCCCACCCTTTGCAGTCCCACCGGACGCAGTCGATACCCTCCGAGAAATGACCTCGAGAGGAACCACCTCTTCGTCCAAATACTCAGTCGTTTCACCGGGCACCAACTCCCGAACCAAATACGCATACTGCTTCTTTGCAAACCGCCTTTCTACCCCTGCGCTGCCCAGTCCCAACTTCTCCACCGTCTGCAAGGTAAGTGGCAAATCGTCATCACCCCAAGACCCATCTATGATTTCGAAAATCATCTCTGCGCAATTCAACTCAACCAAGATCAAGAAGAATTTCCTTGCATATTGGAGTATCCACTCCAGGTACGTGCTCTCTGTTAATGCCTCGCCGAATTTTAACTGCTCGTCGAGGCGCCTTTTCGAAGAGGGGGAGTGTAGTGCTTGACGGATTAACCGTGGGGTTGTGGTTTCCTGGATTTTTTGCTCGTCCCACCAGGTACTCGTCAGTAGCACGGGCGGTGGAAGCGCAATGCTTGGACCACTATAGCCGTACATGCTGTGGAAGAGGTTTGCGCGATGAGGATCGGCCCTTGTGAGGGTCGCCATGATGAGTCCGTATGTGTTGAGAGATTCGAATCTCTGTATAAAGGTGCAAGCGATTGGGGAATCCAAGTCCCCGGAGCCAGACAAGTAACTTTACCAGAAAATCCTAAATCAAGCTACCGCATCACACGCTGCTTCCAGGCCGGATTTTTCACTCCCAAAAACGAGGGAAACGGGGGAGCAGGGACTTGTTATGTATGATGGAGGGGTAGGCAAGGGCAGCAGAAAAAGGAATAATAAGTTAGATGAGTTCTGTGGCACGAACGAGAAGGCGGGATTCGGGAATGACTCTTGTCTCGTGTGGCGACATACTTGTACTCGTGCAAGCACCCATGAGTACCGGCACTGTCAGCAAATGAATCACAACCGAGACACTCTTGACCCCATCAGTCCAACGCTTGGTCGAGCGGTTAGATATGATACAGTAGCATATGATGGCTCTTCCCTCAGTAAAATCCTAGCTCTACTGTACTTCTGAAGCGACCCTGCCACGCGAGCGGGCGTAAATCAAGCAATCCGGAGTGCTGGCCAGCCCGGTCAGAAGAGGCCCTGCCCTTTGCTGTACCATTTTGAAAATGGTGACACAAGGCGACGGCGGATTCGGGTCCGCTCAGAAAAAGAACGATAGGCATGTACTGTACGTTGCCCTGCCAGCACGTGCCGGGTACAAACACTGTAGCTCCACCGATGGGTCACCGTCAAAATCAGACACGCTCTGCGGTGTTTTCATCGGACCCTGTGGCGGATGGGGGGGGGGTGGTGGCGGATCAGCGTGGGTGATGATGCCCCCCACGGTGGAATGGGCACGAGAATGGAGGGTTCGGTTCCAGCGATTTTTTCCTCTTTGATAGGTAATGGCGGATCACCTGTATTGGTGCTGGATATCGGGAAGGAGGAGGAGGTTCACGACGTTGGCGAAGAAAAAGGTGCAATCCCCGTGCCAGTGCTGTCGCTGTCGTTGTTGTGGGCGATCGGGAGCCTGGTGGTACCCTAGGGTATCATAGTACTATACTCTTACTGTATCATACTGTGCGCTAGTGCATAACAGACTTCTTGTCACGCATCGTCACGCATTCGGGTACCGTTACTACTATGATACATTATCACATCCGACCCGGAAACGCTGCGATGGGGCAAATGAAACCACTATAGATCACCGGATGATAGGCCGCTGAGTTATTCTTGGGACTACCGTAGTGTTACCAGATGTTTCCCTTCATGCATGCAAAAAATGCTAGCCTTCTCGTACTCGAGAGTACATCAGTACAGTGCTGCACCCTATCACACAATGTAAAACCGGGTTATTTCCCAGTCTGTAATTGGACTGGCGCCCCGGTACAGTAGACGTCCTTATCTCTGTTCCGGCCATCCTTACTGGTCAACTCGCAACACAGGTGCCCAAGCCGTGCGACTTTACAGTGTTCACGATGCTACCAACACAACAGCAGCTTACCTAGTACCGGAACCACCGGCACCGTAACTTCCTTCTGTTCACGGACTTTACAAGCAAAGCTGAGCAGTGGATTTGACCTTGTCCTCCATGCTTGGCCTTATCTTTCGTCCCTATGGGACGGCTGAACAAATGCTCTCTCCCACCTCCCCCTCTTTAACCCCCATTTCTCACCCAGCACACTCCACAACCACAATCAACACCGCCGTCCTCCCACCCTCCCCGGAGCACTGATAAATCTATTATCCCTTGGGCGGTCAGAGAACGTAAAATCCGCGACCAGGCACCCTAAATCCTGTTGTGACCACGTCCTAGTGTTGTGATCCGTTGATTAGCAAACTATTGCTAAGCTGCTTAGTCACTTGAATATTTAAAAGTCCCATTCACAAGGCGAAATAGCCAGAGGGGGGCGGGTACGAACCTAGTATGCCCGGTCGCCAACTTTACTGTCTCGAACCGCCCGGGGGATAACTATTATCCACACAAACAATCAATTACACCAAAACCTGACATCACGAAACCCAATCTCAACCCAATCTCAACCCAACCTCCACACTCTCCCCTCTCCTCCACAAAGAATGCAGCGAAAAAAACAACCGTGCACGATAATGATCACGGAGAGTGCTCGAGTACGGTACGGTACTTGTACTCGGCCGTCGCAATGCAGATCGCGGCGCTAAACCAATACACGGCAGTTGTGCCGAAGCATTAGACCGTGACAAGCCGAGAGAGTTGGTGCACTATCAACTCCCCCGATTCTGCATCTCCGTCAGACCCCTAATCCCAGGATTGGGAAACAAAAGTCCCAAGAAGGATTAGCGCTTTCCCGGCACTGTTGAACCAGAGTCCTTTGGGCGTGTTGGATCACGTTGACAGGTTTTCACAACCATCGTAACTTGCCAGGCTAGACCGATCGCGGTTCTAACTCCACGACTTTCATCGATCGGTATGACAAGCAGAGACACCAAAAGGATAGCGAGTGGCGGGGCTATTTATGGCACGGTGGGCCGATACCTCGATTTATTGGGGTATGGGTGGCTACCGCGGGGTACTTGTACCAGCATCAACTTCCTAGGATCCGACAACTATCTTCACGGTCTTCCTGCCTCCAAGATTCCGTCCCTGCGCCTTGAAAAGTTAAAAGGGACGGTCCAACCTTTTATGCCCCTTTCAAAACGCACCCAAGAACGACTGTCCACCCCGGCCCTTGTAAACGATCACCACCTCCTGAGTTACGAACGGTACTGTGCACGGCTCTAGCCCCTCTATCTCGACAGCATTCAATCCTGTAACACTTTTATCCCCTACATCGCTCCCAGCCACTTCACAAACTGCTTTTTCTTCCCTACCCCACTGCTGGTTCGAACATGTCCGACTGGTATTGCGTAAGCCATTCTCCCCACCCTACCTTGTCCATAGGAACTATTTGCTCAAATATTGTACAGAGATATTGTGACCTTGGCCCACACAACCTCGAACTTCACGTTGCGTGCATTGAGTGCGGCAAGCCTAGGGCAGACGAGCCTGCACAATCTCCCCACAACCACCAAAGTTACCAAAGTGTAGACCCGCCAAACACTCCTGCCGGGGCCGATGCCACCGCAAGGAATCGTTCCACCCAGGATGTTCTCTCCACCCGAGATCCTTCCCGACGCACATCCGGACGATCAAACGAAAAGCGCGAATCGAAGGCAACTACCCACTGATGTCAATACTTTTTCTTAAAGGACAAAGAAAAGAGAAAAAACCTGGTCCTTCCATCAATAGATCGTTAGGATAAAAAAAAAAAAAAAGAAGGGTTGGGTGAACAACCTGCTTGCCGCTATCGAATCTCTCCTCCTCTCGAAGTAATCAAAACCCTTCCATTCTTTATTCTCTTCCTTCAATGGCAAGGGGTTTCAAACACCGTCTAGCTGTTGGAATAGACACATTCTAGGAGCAATACGGTTGTTGGTGGTGGCTTTCTCTTTTTTTCCAGAGTTTTCCTTTTCTCAAAGACCCGCCGCACTCCTGCAGCCGCGTGTGGATTTCCCATATCCTTCCTTGTACCCCAAGAACTACTTGTATACCCATTAGCGACAAGCAAATGGCCTTTAGATAACCATTTTAATCCATGTATTTTGGGATACTGTAAGCTTCTATCACGATTTGCTTGGCCGAATAATAAAAAAGAGAGGGCCAGCGGAGCGTTTCCAAGTGTCGTGCATGCCTAGGAGGATTTGAGAACTTTACCGGTGCTGCTGTACTGTTCGTACTGTGCTTTACTGTGCTTTACCACTGTTTTGTTTTGTTTCGGAAAGCTCTACTATCCCCGCTTTCCCCTTCCAGTTACCGGTATCCTGGGGTGTCCTTTCATAATATTTTTTATATCTTTTCTACCGCGGCTATCATTAACATTAGCGGGCGATCCTAACTCAACCCTCAATAATTGATCGCTACCGTGCGCCTAACTATCCCGTGCTGCCTACTCCCATCACGAGTATTTTTTTTCTTTTTATATATCAGGGTTGAAACAATCGTGGCTAGAGCTTTGAAGAACCCCTCGCGGAAGGACCGAAGCTTACCGACGAACCCAGGATACAAAAAGTAGCGCGTCCCCCTAACCCCCACCGGTAGTCCTCCCTACCGTAGGACACACCAATTTTCGATATGAACCCATCCAGCAACGAAGAGTGAGGAGAATTCGGTGAAGAAAAAAAAACTTACCTAACGCAGGGTTCGACACAGAAATCCTTCTGGAACCCTGAAAGTCCGAAGTTCCGATTATGGGAGGTCGAAAGGCTCCGCGCCAAGACAGCCAAGCTGTGGCCGGTATCATACTCGAGCAGTGTACGAGTACAGTATGATACCGGTACAGTACAGCGCTCGTCCTACAGGATTCTACATGGTAGTGAGTGGGTCACTCCAGTTTCACAAGTGTTAGACTATCTCTCCCCCGTCTTGCTATTCGAGACCATCGATAGAAAAATTGTAAAATTCGCAATGCTGAGCTCCCATGGATGAGTTTGGGGAATAGACCACGGCAAGTTAAGATTTGCGGTTGTTTCCGGCAGCTACGGTACCGGTACGGCACTCGAGGATGGGAATTTTACATGGGAAACCCGGGGGGAGGGGGGGGTGGGGGCATTCCCCCCCCCAGTTGCCCTGCTTACGTAGATCGGACACATCTTCGCGTTCTGCGATTGAGCATGGTAGGGCACTGTACTCGGATATGGGCGTGGGTGACCGGACAGCCAGGGGGGATTCTGGAGACCTAGCCGGTTTTGCTCTCATAGGAAATAAAAGAGCGAGTCTGGCAAGAGAATTGCTCGAACAAGCAAGAAGCTTTGACACCTCTGATCCACGGCTGTCTGGTCACCTACGTCCGTACCCGAGTACGAGTACTGCATTGGTACTGTACACGTACTGGTCACTGTGCACAGCCTTATTGTCGGCGCAGCGACTAAACGGGTACCGTGACGCGATGATCGTTGGGTAACGTACCGGTACTCGTACTAATTTATCATAGTACGGTAATTGTACCGTGCTAGTAGCCAATATTACGCCAGTTTATTATCTCCCCTTCGGATGACCGCGCCAGTCCCTGGGTCCAGTCAGGGTCATGGAGTAGCTTCTCTTTAGGAAGGGTGCTACTCCACTGCTGGGATAAATCCGAAGCCACCGGGTTTGGCGCAGCATTACGGAGAGATTTTGTGAGAAGACGTTGTACAGTATTGTGCGGTAGGAGTAGACTGACTTCCTGTTTGATGATGGGTTTGAGACTCGCCGGAGACGGAGGTTATACGAGTATGGTATGTATGATACGGTACGTGCGAGTTCGGTCGCATGTGAATAGAAGGATGGCATCTCTGCGTAAGCAAAATCACATCTCACACAGGTACCGGTATCCTCTCTTTACTCGTACCTCAATTCATACGGTAGTGTGGGGATAACTCTTTACGAGTACAAGTAGAGCACCGGGTATCATACTCGCGGAGGCAGTGTCCGTGGTGCGCTGAGAGTGAGCCTGATCCGTCCGCTTTGACATGTCCCGCGCGGAGAAGTGAAGAAGATTCCACGAAAAGCTAAAAAAAAAAAATCCCCAGCGTCGGACCCTCCCGAAATCTCCGATCATCACATTCAAGCTATGGTATCATAAAGTCAGTTTATCCCCGACATGCTGTCGCAAAACACGGTCGATTCAAGTCGTCTATCATGCCCATCCCTCCCCCTACCTATCCTAAAACAGACCTCCCCACCTAACCCCGACAACGGGGATCACCCACCACCACCTTGTCCTCCTCCAAATCACATGTAAGCCCGAGCGCCAGCCACAGGTAGCCACATCCAAGGGGGGGCGTAGAGAAACAGAAGGAGAGGAAAGGAAAATATACTACGGTACGGTAGTTAAGGTGCAAAATCGCGCAACTTGAAATCTTACACAAACTGGGCTTTACTACTCGAGACACCGGAGTGGATCGGAGGGGGGGGGCGCCCATCCGTCTCGTTTGTGCTCGTCTCACCGGGGACCAGAACAGAGGAGAGGAGAGGCATGATGTGGAAGGAGGAAGAGGGGAATTGACTTCCATCCGGGGGGAAGGGTTTTTGTCGCGCGGCCGGAGCCGTTTGCGTGACAACCGCGCTAGTCCCAGATCGTTATGTTCTCCACAGATACCGTATCGCACTGAAGCTAACTTAGACTCCAGCGTCCCCCGCAATCAACCACTTCGGAGTTTATCATGGAGGCACCGGAGAATACCGCACGTTATAATCCTCACCCATTCGCCCCCCCACTCTTCTACTCGTACGGACAGCAATCATACCGGTAGACCCGGAGAGCGAGAAGGGGAGAAGACAAGGAAAGAAACTCGAGACCCAACGATCCGCTTGAAGGGAAGGGCCGAACGAAATCCATACGATTTCCTGGCTAGCAGCGCCACCAAAGCCCGAGTGCGCCAGCAGCCATAATCACGGAACCGGTACCGTACGCCCCCCCACATGCGTACTTGAGTAAATGCACCTACGGTACTTACCATTGGTGGCATTTCTGAGCATTGGACTACCGCTATTGCATAGCACGAGTACCTCCCACTCCTGAGCAGGAAAAAGAGGAAGGGGGGGTTTTCCGGGTTTTGCCTCTATCTGTGATTACAAATACGGTAGATCCGACGACTTAACGTGGGAACAGATTGGGGCAGGGAGGGGAAAATTTGGCAGTGTGGAAGGGCGGTCGTGTTCGCGGGCCCTCAACCACTTTCTCTTCTCGCGTGAGCAGCGGCTCCGGATCTATTCTGGAACCTATTTGATTTGGAGCACCTTGATTGCCATGTACGAGTAGATGGTGACTGGCCGGCGGCGACGAGCCGGGAAATGGAGAATAAGTTCGATTCGATGGGGTGTGCTACCGGTAAGTTACATAATTTCCTGTGATAACCGTCCGGGTGGCTGGATGAGTATTTGAGTACGGTAGGGTACGGTGTGTTCCTCGGTAACCGCTGTCTTGGCGAGCAAGTGTGGGGGTCCGTGTCTTGACCTGGCTGGGGGTTGATGGATTGACTCTGGAAGTTTGTGAATTGCGGTTTGAAGGTTAGGGGGATACTGATAGCCCGCCTTCACATTGTCCGAGAACAGCTTCAGGTCAGGCCTTAAGTCCATTATCGATACGAGGGTGATCAAATGAGGGAGGGGTCTCTGGTTAGTCTGTATCTGGGTGGGGTTCCCGACTACTTTCTGGGTTCATCGTGACACCCCGTTATTAGATATCACTCAGAATTTCGGGGAAGCCTCTCAAGGATTGTTCGCTTGCAGTGAGAAAACGGTTGATGGCACCCCGGGTATATCCTTGGGCGTGCCGAATCACAGGCATACTCGGAATTGACCTATGAACTGCCCGTTCATCCAACACGCGAGCTACGAGTAGATTCCAGGCAAGGGGGGGTCCCGGGCCAACTCAGAACCTGGTTTGAGAAATCCAAGCTCTACGGTACATGTGGGCTTTCCCTGGCACCTCAACCCGATCAACATCGGCTAAATAAGCTCCGGTTTATTATGCCATTCATAGCTAGGCTCCCGTGGCGGTCTGATGAATGAAGGGGGGTCCGCCATGGAGGGTTCAGTACATACGGAGTTTAGTTTGTGATTGGTGTCCTGGGGTATATCCGGCATACGTGGTACTCCACTCAAGTTTTTTTTGTAAAAAGATGGGAGCGGTATGCGCGGTTGCATTTATTTATCTCTTGCGGCATTGTAACTTGCCACGCTGGTTATTAACACACGGTGGGCTTTGAAGGAGTACCGGCCGGAATGGTATACTTGGCCAAACGTGACCGCCTCTTGCGCAACCGAAGCAACAGCGACAGCCACAATCAGAACCATGTTACTGCACCGTACCATGCCTGAAAACCCGCAGTGCCGTTGATCCAATCTTTATACAGGACAATGCTAGGGTGCGTACTGCGGAGCTGACTCTGGGGGGGGGATCAGGAGGTAATAATGTAGATGTTCCGGAGAACTCGTCCTTATGTTTACCTGATTTTAATCGATTCAACATGTTGGAGTATTACCATCAGTACTGCTCACATGTAGCTACTGATACTAGATAGTCAGACAAGGAAATGCTCCTCATAGAGGAAGCCCTTATTCATTGTTGGTAATTAACGCTGGATACTTTGATTGAAAGCTTGGTTGAGGTTATTCCCAGAAGAATTGAGGCAGTTATTTGGGCAAAAGGCTGGTATACTAAATATTGAGTAACTCAGTGGTAGATATTTTAGTCCTTTTATTCGTTTTGTGGGGCATCGTGAATTTAAGAGTAGCTGATATAGTTGGATTCGGAGCGGGTGAGGGGGGCTGCCGTGGCCGCCCACAATGAATGGTGTCACTGAGCCGTATCAATGATTGCATATCCTGTTTGACAGATTCTTTGGCCGTGGCGGGGATCCGTGCATTCGTACTGAAGGAAGCCACCGACGGTCTAGGTGCGCTAAACCCCGGGGAATGGAGTACCCAACAATTTTGGCAGTTTTCCGGCCTGACAAACCCCCTCTGTGAGCTGCTGGTATGCACTGTACGAGTGCGGCCGATAAATATATTCGTCACGTGCCTTATCTAAGGACAAATCGCAGCCAAAAGGTGCACCGAAACTTTCTTATCAGACTCACGTGACGAATATATCTATCGGCCGCACTCGTAGATTGAGGGTGGTGATATACCTTCTCCGCGGGATCTGGGGGCTCGTATGATAGATAGGCTCATAGCATCCGAAACATCCCCGTGAACTGAACCGCTATCCAGGGTACCGTCGAATATCTCCCTGTCCAGTCTATATCCAACAGTCCCCGGAACCAGGAGCCACGGTACTGATAGTGCAGCACACGTTGTACAATCCCCAGCATTGATACGAGTGCGGAGAGACTAACTTTACCAATTACCGTACTGGATCAATCTCCCGATGAAACCCGGTTTCATCCACGATTCCAAACACCGAAACTCTGAACATGATCCATCGCAACTCAGGTTACCTACACCTTCTCGCTTAGAATGGGGTCCTGGCATTCGGTATGGGTCCAACCCCCGTCACATCCGTTCCCAGGAGAATATTGTCGAAA